TATGGGGCAAACAGCAAATTATTAGCAACAGTGTCTGAAGCATCAATGACGCGCGGCGGCGGAGAGTTTTAGGAGCTTTCGATGGCCTTTCCATGCTATTGCATGGCCTGGCTAGACATGTAGTTTTTCCCCAGATAGCTTTAGCTATTAGGGGTTCTAGGTCAATAAGCGGACGCGCTGAGTCCAATGCCGCCGCAGGGGGCGCAGCCGCATGCAGGCGGCATGCAGGTTGGGCGCACTGTGCCGCTGGACGGGGTGCAGCGTCATGCAGTCGGCATGCAGGTTGCATGCAGGTGGGGCGCAGTCGAAAAAGCAGCGGCATGCAGGTGCCATGTCCTCAGCCGCCGTACGGTCCAGCAGCATGCAGTCTGCATGCAGGCGGCATGCATATATGGGGTGCGCTGTGTCCACAGCCGCCGCAGGGGGTGCAGCAGCATGCAGGCGGCGTGCATGTGGGGCGCTTTGTGTCCGTCGCCGCCGCAGGGTGGGCAGAGTCGTGCAGGCGGCATGCAGGTGGGGGCGCTATGCCGTTATGTCCACCGCCCCCGAAGGAGGTGCAGCGCACGCAGTTGACATGCAGGTGGGGCGCGCCGTGTCCGCCGAAGAAGGTGCAGCGGCATGCAGTCGGACATGCAGGTGGGGCTCGCCAACCACAACAGAAAAATCAACCAAATTTAGTTGATTTTTCCATTGCGGACGAGTTTTTGGGACCGTGTTGCGGCATGAAAGCCAGCCAACTGCAGGAACAAGTGCACAATCGGGTCCAAAAAACGCTCCAGGACCCACCTATAACTTACCACAGAAAACTCAGCGTTTAGTTGAGTTCGGACGAGTTTTGGGGACCGATTTGCAGCTTGAAAGCCAGCAAACGGCAGAATCAAGTGCACAAATCCGGTCCAAAACTCTTGGACCCACCAAACTACCACAAAAAATCAACCAAGTTTAGTTGATTCTTGGACGAGTTTGGGGGACTGCAGCCAACGGTAGGAACAAGCGCACAAGTCGGGTCGGGAAAATGCTCCTGGACCCGCCCAGACTACCAGAGAAAATTCGCCAAATTTAGTTGATTTTTCAGACGAGTCTTGGGGACTGGTTTGCGCCTTGAAATCTATAGCCAACGCCAGCAACAAATGCACAATCCGGGACCACAAAACGCTCCTGGAGCCGCCAAACTTACAAGAAAACATCAACCACATGTAGTTGATTTTGGGGACGAGATTTGGGGACTGATTTGTGGCTCGAAAGCCAGCCAACGACAGGAACAAGTGCACAAATCGGGTCCAAAAAAAGCTCCTGGACCCACCCAAATTGCCACAGAAGAATACACCAAGTTTAGCTGATTTTGGGACGAGTTTTGGGGACTGATTTGTGGCTTGAAAGCCAGCCAACGGCAGGAACAAGTGCACCAATCGGGTCCAAAAAAACCTCCTGGATCCGCCCAAATTAGCCAACGGTACTAGTAGGAACAACTGCACAAGTCGGGTCCAGAAAACACTCCTCGACCCGCCCAAACTACCACAGAAAAATCAATTGAATTTAATCGATTTTTCGGACGAGTTTTGGAGACAGTTTGTGGCGTTGGAAGCTAGCCAACGCCAGCAACAAATGCACAAACCGGGTCCACAAAATGCTCCTTGACCCGCCAAAATTGCCAAAGCATAGACCGGATCCAAAAAGGCTTCGTGGACCCGGGAAACTTGCCAAAGTTGATTTTTGGAGAACTTTGCGAGGATCATTTCGGGCTTGAAAGCTAGCCGACATCAGCATAGTCCAAGTCCATGAAAATCGCATAAGAAACTCAACTAAAATTGTTGGACGAGACTGCTCAAGTTGCTGCCGTTGCTTAGTGTCACTACCGCACCGAATGTTCCGTGACCCACTGCCACTCATGGAGTTCATCAGAATGAGGTAACGTTCGAGGCCCGCCGCCCATGAATGAGACATTGATCCGGTACCGATCAGTGACGTAAGAATCGGACTGTGGCCCGGCCCTGCATTGGACCGCCATGTGAGTGTTGTCGAAGCGAATGACATGGCCGATCGGTTGTACAATGCTCAGATTGGCCAGTGTACCGGCGAGACGGGGATGAGGACACTGCCCCAATTGTTGTCCCCCGACGAAAGGAGTGGAGGACTATCTAGGTGGTGCCGGTTTGAGCACCGCTCTGAGCACTCGAATGATTCAATGAGCTCCCTGAGATTGAGAATGTCATCGCTGGAAATCAGCGCTCCAGAATTTTCCTCAGGAGTGCATGACTGAAACTGCCTGGTATTGTTGTCCAAGGCCACGCGAAGGTTTTTAAGGAGTATATCATGGATGCGTGTATGATGAGTGCCTTGCGGAAGTTACGGCAGTGACGCTGCAAGGAGCGCTTGATCAAGAATGGCAAGGAGAATGTCGCATTCATCGCGCAAGGTCGAGAAATGACCGGCGCGAGGAGGGCATGGGTGTAGAACGATGTCAATCAGCGCCTCAAACTTGAAAGTTATACATTAATCGTCAATTTACTGACCATGTCAGCCATATCAATGGGGAATGGTCGTCAGTCAGCATGAGTTGGCGGCATGGTCCTCATCAGAATGCCCCAGCATGACGTCGTGTCGTCTGCTTGGACGACATGGTGGAGTGGTACCGCAACGTCACTCTGCGAGGAGCTGGCCTGATCGCGGGGCGGTTGATGACCCACAAATCGTTGAATTTCGCATGGTCGCGAACTTTGGAGTGAGGGGGAAATGGTGGTGAGATCAAACTGTTCCCACCACCAGTGCACAACGGTGGGAAGATTGCCCAGAGAGTGACCGCTGATGACTTGAGTGACGCCTTTGATGTGCAGCAGACTGGAGCACAAAACAACGAACCGTTATTGTTCTCCTCACGACAGTTAGCTTGCATGCTGGCACAGATCACGGATGGTACCGCGTGGACGATTACTTGAAATCAGGACACAGAATGGAATTGAATTTTGGGAAGATTGCGCAGACAGTTTGCAGTGTCTGAACGAGCGAGAGCCACAAGTCTCCTGAATGAGATCTCTTCGTTCAAGCGGTCCAATGCAGCAGCATTTGCGTTTTCAAGGTTTTTAATGTACACGAGCCACTGGAGTAGAGCATTCTAGGGGGAAATGTCGGCAGGGACCGATGGTGATATCCGACAGGAAATTCAACAAGGAGAGCGGAATCAGGTTTGGAATCGGAAACAGGAATGGTACGATTCAGGAAGTATTCGTGATCGAAGTCATGAGTGGATAGGTTCGCTTGATGATGAGTCCGGTGACTGGAATGGGTTCGACAACCACTGGAGTTGTTGGAAGGAAGACCCGTCTTGGAATTCACAAGACTGGTGGAGCACGGAGCAGCCGAGCTCCAATATGGCGTCTAGCTGCCAGGCGAATGCGTCGCAGGAAGCCACCAACTGTGAACAGTCGCAGAATGTGGCAGCTGTGACTGTCGAGGCAGGATCAAAATGCTCCCCGATCGAGCATCCGAGGTGCGAAGCCTGGGATACTGCCGAATCGAGCATGCTTGATGATCGGCGTGTTGAGTGCCGGAGTGCCCCCGGTTTCTCCCAAAAAATTGCCGGAGGTTGATCCTGTGAAGTTTGATGACAGATTGATTGAGTTTCACGGGCAACCTTGATTGGAGCTTGTGGCCGGAATGGCTTGCAGCTTGGCTATAGCAATGGTCATTTTTTGAGCGTTCAGTTCTACGTGTGCACTGGGATGCCGTTTCGACTGGTCAGCATGGCCGATGGCTGTTGGGTTTTTGGACATGGACCGTAGAGGCCCGAGACTATATATCATGTCTTGATTGACTCGACCGGAAACCCTCTTCCGATTGTGCGACAGGAAACATTGGTGTACCTGACACCGACTGTCATTCCGCATGCCCTTGTAGATGCGGCGAGATTGGCAGCGAGTTGTTTGACTGATGTGCTGTCGGGAGCGGAGCAACGGCTTGGTGCACTGGGGTGTTGCTTCGCATGTCGGATTTGCATGACAGCTCGTTTGACAGATTGGTGCCTGAATTGCTGCGGAGCAGGGCATAAACAATGCTCATGATTACATGTATGATGCGTTGGAAGTGAATGAGCCACAGCTGAAATAGATCCGGCACGTCAAGACACAGAAAGGAAATGCTCGATCCTCGAATCGAAGCCTCCAAGACTGTGCCAATGCAAATGTCCCGATTGACCGGCGACAGGGTGACACACACGATGTACAATGAAGGATTGACTGTCACTATCAGAAATAATACTTAAGAATGTCCTGACCTTGGCACGAACCCGGCCCAGTGACCCGAAAGAATGGAAAGGCCGAGTGGAGTTCAAATTGCGCCATTGCGCCACAAGCCGCAATTGAGGGATGTGAAGCACAGTGAGCCCAGACGTTGCAATTCGTGGGTTAGCAGGCCTGAGCAAAGACAGCACTGCACGCGCCAAACTACTTGGGGACAACAGCACAAAAAGGAAGAACCAACTGGTTGACCTTCCTGGTTATCACTATTTGACAACCATTTATGTCCGAAACCATGAACCTTTCTGGCTTCCCAACTATCTGGGGTCTTCGCCGTTCTATTTCTATAGTATACTATATTCTAAAGGGTCCTTCCTGTCAGGGGGTATCGAAAAAACATTTGGTGTGTGGGGTTCGCATGAGGGGGTTTGTTTTTGAGAGTTTTTGCATAACCTTCCGCCACTTCAGATCCTTGCTTCCCAGACTCCACGCAGCAAATCCGCTCGTGGTGCTGTTGGTTTCCAGTGGAACATTGCTGCGGCACATTCTGTTCAAAGCTGTACACCACTAGTCCAGGATTCGCTTATAAGGTTATTGCGAATTTATGTAAGTCCTGGGATTCGTACTCGCACATTCTGCACCTCGCAGTGTCCTAGCCCTCCCTGTCTTGGAAGTTGAGAGTAGTAGTTTGCAGCGTTGTCAGCATGCGAGTGTAGCAACCTGGCAACGTCGCCCTCTGCCTGCGCCATGGATGGTAAATGGTAACCTATGAAGCGGGGTGCTCCGACCTCAGATGCCGACATTGACGGCCTGCTGGAGGGATTCACCTCCACATCATTTGAGCGCAAGCGGGATGCTTCGCTGGTTTTGCAGCGCTTAGTTGCCGACGACCCAGGCGGTCTCGGCACAGCACTTGCATTGCGTATTACCGCAGGCGATGTGGAGGCCAGACGGTGTGCTGCTGTACTACTGAGGGAGGTGTTTACTCAGAACAGCGTGAGCCTCATTCCCAAATCTGATGGGTCCATTGGGCAGATTACAGAAGAAGACGAAAGCCAAGCATGTCCTGTCTGGGTCCGAGAAGGTCTCGGAGAAACCCTCCTCGAGTCATTCCGTTCGTCGGTGTCGGAGCCGACGGTTCGATGCAAAGCTGCAGATGCTGTTGGCACAGCAGCTTTCCGTCAATTCACAATCGGCGGTCGGGCATGGCCTGCACTGACAGCAACTCTTGCAAAACTCTGCAACACTGGTGCGCGTCCCGAGATGATGGCAGTCCTTGAGCTGCTGGAAGTGCTGCGAGATGAAGCAGAGCTTGCAGAGGACTGGCAGGACAATGCAACCGTCCACCCCATGACATGGGTCTATGCCCAGTTAGCTGCTCTCCAAGAGGAGTCTGGTGCTTTGCACGCACTTCTGGCATCTGCTCTTCTCGACCCTGCAGGAGAGGACACGCTTGCCGAACCGGCTGCACGCATGTTTTGCCTTCTCGTCAAGGCAGAGGCTCCGGAAGAGCTGCGGAGCGCATTCCGGGATCTGGCACCAGCGCTTGCACAGGCGGTGGTCCGACATCCAGGAGAGGCTTTGCTCCAGGCTTTGGCACTAGTTGTTCGAGATGATCCGGAGATGTGGGGAGAAGACTTGGGTGATTTGCCGGGTGTTCTCGCTCGTGCCGCCATGGACTCCAAAGCAGAGCCCGCAGCCAGGCTGGCTGCGATGGAGTCATTGATGCAACTCCTGAATGCTTCCGATGTGTCCGGTTTGTCTTCCACCATGGATGTAAGCGACAGTGTGGAGGAGTCGGAGCTAGAGGTGCACACCTTGACAGCATTGGCAGCTGTGCTGGCGGAGCTGCCATCACCTGAAGCTACCGAGTGGTGGGCCGAAGTCGTTGACGGCGAAACTGAGCTTGAAGCAGACGATGGCGACCGAAGTCGAGCGGAAGAATCCTTGCTGCAGGAAGCTTTGGACGATGCTTGCCGATTGATCCGGCGGTCTCGCCGAGCGTGCTCCAAGCTGCATGCTGCAGCTCTTCAACTCTTGCAGATGGAAGCATGGCAAGCCAAGCACGGAGGTTTGCTGCTGCTATTGCGCCTTGCAGTTAAAACTTCGGAAGATGGTGAGCAGACCGTGGATGAGCAAAGAGCCGGCGAGGTTTCGCAAGCAGCTCTGTGCTGCTTCACTAATACAAACCCTCGAGTGAGGTGGGCAGCATTGGAGGTCTGCGCTCGGCTTTTGATGGCCGAATGCAGTGCACCGGTTGGACTCCTCAGTCAGATGCCACAGCCGCTGCTTTTGCTTTGCAACGACATTTACACGCGTGTCCGTCGTCGAGGCCTTTTGGTCCTCCTCTTCTCCGCTCAGACGGCGCCACATGAGATGGCGATGCACGGCGAGAGGATATTCAAAGAGGTACTGATCCCGCATGCGCGTGACGACGATGACAGCAGGGCGGCCTGCCGTCAAATTGCAGAGCAGCTTGCCCTGGTCAAAGATGTGCCAGGAGGCTGTACAGAAGAGCAGAGGACCTGTTTCCAACAGGAGTTGGAACGGGATGCCGTGGGCGGCAGCTATGCTTTTTGTGAGGACATGGCAATCGAGCTGCCCACACCATGTGAATAGCCTTGACGTTGAGCAAAAAAGTCAGAGATGCAGTGAGAAGAGCAGGCACAAAGATTGGCGAACGGAGCTTTGAACAGGCCCAGGCGGCTCCCGCCGGTCGACGGATGTCGATGGTTCGCGCCTTAGACGTGCTGAAAACCACCAGGGGAAGCGTGCGCTGCGTAGTTGCTGTGGTAGACCAGGTTCGGAAGGTGAGAAACATGCTCATGTGACCACTGGGTTCGGAGTAGGATTTCCCAATTGTACAAATCAGATCTGTCCGTATGCGTGCACGCCGTCCGAAGATGGTGACTCAAACGTATTCATACTCCGGCGCTTCATTTGCACGAGGGGTTTCGTCAAGTCTTGAGAATGGCCGAGGCTGGAGGCTTTAGGTCCTCCGTGCCTGTGTTGCTTTTTGTTTAGGTTGCGATTGCAGGGAGAGACCAAGGTGCGCCGGAAATCCTCGGGCCTCATAATGGATGAGGCTTGCTGATGCCAAGAGGGTAGATGGCCCATAGCAGTGCCAACTAAGCTTTCGGTCTTATGCTGCTGAGGGTGTCCAAGCATTGAGGAGGTTCGGGCAAGGTTCAATAAAGTTTTGTGAATCACTCGAAAGCCCCAAGTATGCTCATTGCCTGCCGTGTGCGAGTGCGAAAGTTAAAAATACGCTCATCCTGGCAGCCGGCGGAGCAGCAGTATGGCCAGAGCATCGGCACCATTCGCTCGGGCCAGGCTGTGGGTGCTGGGCTCAGCTTTTGTGGTTTTCAGCGTTCTATGTCTTCGTTTAGGGAGCGTCGTTTAGGTATGTTTAGATTTTTTTGAAGGGGTCTTGGCCGGGCGGCTCACCAGAAGTCTGGAAGCTTCGGGTCCTGAGTTGTTGAGAGCTAGTCTTAGGAAAAACCGTGCATCGGCAACCTGTCGGACCTATCGTCCTTGGAATGGAAAAGCAAAACCAGCGGACGACTTGGCAAAGGGTACTGCACAAGTTTTGCAGCTGCATGGTATTGCAAAGTCTTACGAGTCTCCGGCCGAATACGCAGAGCAACCCTTACGTCACACAATCCAGTTGAACCTGCAAGAGAGCGAAGCCAAGTGACAGTAGTCGTTACAGCAAGGCCACTTGGTTTGTCGTCGAGACTATCCGTGATCTAGGGAATGGAAGAATGCCGACAGCCCAGCGTAAGTCCAAGTAGAAAAGACTTAAACCCGAGTTGCGAACACCAGTGTAGCAGGCGGCAAATAATGCATCGGAAGTTAGAAGCAGTGGTAGAAAGTCAGAGCTCACAGCTTTTTGCTCCTGAGGGTAATTTTCTGAGAGCTTAGAGCAGGGGCTCTTCAGCGTCCCTGCGATCCAATGTAATCAGCGGTTTTCTTCAGGGGTTTCGAAGTGCAATGTCGCACTTACAATAGTTTCACTGCGCGTGCTCGACGGGATTGCCATGCGCACCCATTACGAGCCCAGAGTTGGAAGGCGAGAGAGTGTGCGAAGTCCAGGTGTGGTGGCTCTGATGGAGAGCCAGCCTCGCTCTGCCACGGCGCTGGTTTCGGAGCCTGGCGAGATGCTCCTCGTCAGGCCTGCTGCCTGGAGTCAGAAACCTCGAAAAAGGTCAAGTTTCGGTCAGACAGCTATAAAGCCTTCCCTGCAGTGCGACACTGGGTGAGCTAACCCCCAGCTTGCGATGCTTGTTTCAGATTCCCTACGCAGGAAGGCCGACTTCATGCGGCTCATCAAAGAGCCCATGAGCAGAGACTGGGTGGAGAAAGACAGGCTCCTGAAGCTGGAGATGTGCCCAACATGTTGTGGTAGCTTTCTGGTTCACAGTCGGCGTTTTTCAATCACATTAGTGCTCGTTCAGATCAGTTGGCACCGTTCAGCGACTGCACGGTTTGGTGTGCTGCAAGGCTGCCATTGCCTGCAGGTTCTTGCAGGATCACCTCGTGGGCATCCGGGAGCATGCGAAGAGCTTCGTGCCGATCACTGGCAAGTCCAGATCCCATTCGCAGGGTTTCCTCGCATGACTTGTCATGTCATGGAATATCTGAGAGACTTTCAAGCGATGCGCGACGAGGGATGCATCTACATCTTTTGACACCCAAGCCAGATGATATGCAGATATCATGCGAAGGGCGAGATGAAAAGACAGATACCCAGCTTGATGCCGGGAATGTCCAGGTCGCATGCGACGCATATGTTCGCCAAGAAGAAGTATCTTCCCGGTCACATCTTCTTGCACGAGGCAGTGGCAACAGCTGATCTACTTCGATTCTCACCTCAAGACGGTCGCGGTAGAGCCGCGATACGTCTAGCCGAGAAGCGAGCAGGACGGTTTAATCTTTCTTCTCAGAGTTCACGCTTTAGTACCTCTCTCGTCCTTTTTGTTACCGCTGCCAGTCGTCGTTTGTGTTTGCAATTGGAGTGTTTTGCAGTCGTTGCAGAGGTTCTGCAGTTTTCCTGAGGCCAGAGCCGTACCAAATGTGCTTGCTTCGCCCTAGTAGTAGCAGCACAGCAGCAATGTCAAGCATTACGTTGCAAGCGGCAGCAACAGTAGCTTGGTGGATGCCATCTTCTGCCAGGGCCAGGTGGCAGAGGGCGCGCTTTACGTCATTTTCGAGGGCTCTGTGGAGTTCTTCCGGGCTGCCTCAGGCGACCTGTGCCTCTGAGTGAAGCGATAGCTTAGTCTGAACAGTCTCTCTGAGTGGTATAACCCCAGCCTTTCGCGCTTTGGGGATCTGGCAAGTGCAGTTATCGTCGCGCCGTAGTCACTCGGGCTTTCGCGAGGCTGACGGCATCGCATTGTGTCTTTTGTCAAGACTCCCCAGACCAATGACAGAATATGTGCTGAGTTTGCACCTGGCTTCTGTCTCTTCTATCTTGTGAAAGGTGCCATGGCCATGCCTAAATGCAATCTGTTTGCACCCTGTGCATGTTACATGTTATAAACGGCGCCCTGCTTGCTGGGCCAGCCTGCACAACGCAAAATCGTTTGGAGGTTCAGGGTAGAAAGGCTTGAATTACTGGAGCTCCCGAGCATTGCAGGCACAACCGCCAAACTTCGCGAAGCATGGAGAAACCCGGCAAGCTGCTTAGATCTCATTCCAGTTCGTATTGCTCCGTCAGATGTCCAAATTGCACGCCATGCTTGGGCACCTGCCATCACTTTGCACATCTTGGCACTTTGCGCATAATTTCACTCCACACCCACAAAGAATGACGATGATCTTCTGTGAAAACGCCTTGGTGGGCTCTCCGTGTCTTTGGATAGGTGATGGAGCAGCGGAAGCCCCTGGGCTTGCTTCAGCCGACGAGTGCTGGTGTCGTCGCCCGCGAGTACAGGCCCAGCAGCACGTGGAGTAAGCACAAACCGTTGAACGAAAAGAATGATCTGTGGCTTGATTGCATGTCAGACATGTTTTCTTATCAGGGCTCGCAGGATCTGTCTGCTTCACCCGTTTGCAGGATGCTGTGTGCCTGTCAAGTTGTCGCGATGACGGCATTGGGTGTTGAGCACACCACATAACCTCTAGACTCCAGGTAGGGGCGATTTTCGGAAGTTGCGACAGGCTTTGCGCCATGTTGTCCGGGGGCCTCTTCGGCTCCGCTAGCTTCATCGGCGGAGAGAAAACGACGGAGGAGTTCTCAGTCATCGCAGGCACCGTGAATATTGGCTTCAGATTAGATTGTCAAACAGCTACTTCATTGGTTCAGGGTTTCAGGCTTTAGAGTCGTCTACCTTGCTGCAGCCTTTGCCATGTAGCACGGATCCGCTTTGTCATCTCGTTCGCGGTTTCCCAGAGATTGACTGCCCTCATCAACTCGAAAATGCTTACAAGCCGGTTGAATGGCCTCAGCAGTAGTTCGCCGTACTTGTGTTTACAAAAGGAGTGATGGGTTGATTTAGTTGAGTAACAGTCGCACTTGATTGAAGACCGCCATGCCAAGTGGTTTTTGATGAGGTTGGCAGGTGAAGCACTTGTCCGACTTGTCCGACACATGCATGTGGGAGTTCGCGCGAGACTACGAAATTCTACAGGTCCATGTTCCTCCGATATTCTCCGTGCACGATGGCAAGAGATTACTGCTTCTGCTACAGGCCCAAAGGGCTGCTTGGTCTTCGAGTCTGTGGGAGACAACTTCCAGAAGCTCCCTTTGAAGGCTCACTTAGAGGTTTAGAAGTCCCGGTAAAACCAGTTCTTCGATGCAGGATTCTGCAGCCAGTATTTTCGGGCGGCGCTCTGGCTTTAGGGAAGTATCGCCAATTGGGAGCCTTTGCCGCCTAAGGAACAACATTTGTAAGGATTCCTACTTGTATATTGGCTTTCCAGGCATTCAGGATCAAGTGTCGCCCAGTGCTTTGTTTCCGAAATCTACACATCTGCAACGAGCCTCTAGGCTGCCTGGATTTCCAACAACTGGGATGTCTTTCATGTTCCTTGGAGCCTGGCGGGTCAGTGCAGGTGGCTTCTGCAGCAAGGGAGGTCTTGTCGAAGGTGGCGCAGGTCCATCAAGAGAGGCGCCTCTTCTGCACGCACCGACAGCGTCACCGGCCATTGCGAAAGGCTCAACCGTGTCATGACCTTTTCCTCAGGTGCGGGGTGCTTCTGGCGACCCTTGATTCAGGAAGCGATGAGAATCCCGCCAAGTAGCTTGGCAAAAGGACTTGGGTATGGAAAGCAGGTGCCGCAAAGGCGTGGCGGTGGTTCAGGCAAAATGCGTCGGCCAATGTAAAGTCTTAGTTACTAAGTCTTAGTTTTGCCATGAATGGAAGATGGAAGACATTCCTAGCACAACCGAACTTGTCTCATTAATAAGTAAATTGCTCACAGCCACGATTCCCAATTCCGTCTGCTTTTTTGGTTGGTGAGTTCTGAGCCTGTGCGTGTTAAGGTTTTGAGGGTTGTGGGCTTGGCTGTTTAAAGCTTGCTTGGGGAGGTGCACGAGGACAAGCAAAACCAACTGCGAGTCCCGAAGATTGCATGTGTTGTCGCCACCCCGTTCAGTACATTCCTTTGAACTTACGTAAGGCTGAGCTTCCGCCAGTCAAAGCCAGTCCAGATGCTAGCTGCATGTCTCCTAAGTCAGCATCGTGTCTCGTACTGATTTGCCTAAGAGGATATCTAAGGCATCACCTCAGGTGGAGAGTGTTTTGGGTTGCCCAGTTGGACGAGACATCTTGAGTGGATAACTTGATCCATATTAAGTTCACTGACATCTATTATCGCAATTACCATGACTACTGCTACTGCTACTAGTATTGTTATTATTGTTGTTATTACTGTTATCATTACTACTACTACTGCTGCTGCTGCTGCTGCTGCTACTGCTACTACTACTGCTGGTACTACTACTACTACTACTACTACTACGACGACTACTACTACTACTACTACTACCACCAGCACTACTACTTATTCTACTACTACGACTACGACCACGACCATTATCATTAACGTATTAAGGGGATGACAAAAATTCAGGGTATTGTCATCGCTAGTATTATGAACTCATGTATTGTCATAGTTATTGTTGTCCTGGAAGTACTAGTACAAGTATTGACTCGCTATTAGTATGATGAGTATTATTGTTATTATTATTGAATTGTGATTATTATTGTTATTAATATTGTTATTAGTAGTAGTAGTAGCAGCAGTAGTCGTTGACAGACACCCTGGGCATCCCTACACTCCAAGGCTGTGGAAGCGAACGATGGCTTGGCAGGGCCAGGGCCCTCAAAGAGAAGCTAAGTAGTGCCAGCTGCCGTGAACAAGACGAAGACTCCAGTAGTCATGCAGTATTCCTGAAGGTTCCCTGTTCCAACTATTCAGGCATATTCAACCGCCGTTTTCTCTGTGTTTGTTCATGCTTCGTTCGCCCCAGGCAATGCGAATGCACGACGTGCCTCGCAATCGCCACGGGCCTATGAAGTGGCAGTGCGATGGACGTGTGTTGGGCTTGATTGCTGCACGGTCTGAGCTTGAACTGATTTTTTCAGGAGTTCGGGCATGTACTCATGCCGACGGGATGCGAAGGGAGGGGATCTAAAAGGCTATTCATTGAATAGCAGGGTAACTTGCAGGTGTGCAGGAGTCAGGTTGCCTGGTTGGGTCGAACCAGGCGTTTCTTCACGGCCCCGTGACTTGAGGAATCCTCTCCTCACTTCGAGCAAGATGCAGGCGCACCCGGTTCCGAACCTCGGTACAGAGACTGTCACAACATAGGATGTAAAGGTACCGCATGGCCTAGTAGCTTTCAGAAGCGATGCCGGCAATTGCCCAGACAACCAGAACTGACCGCTGCTAAATCCTGCATGATCCCTGATACAGTCAGGCATTACCAGTGTCGCGAAGTCTGTTGCGCCTTATGTGATCGAGAAAGGTGGGCCTTCCACAAGGCCGGCGTGAGCGTGACGGACCGCTGACTGCACGCACCCCCCGCTCATCTTAGGCGTGCCTAACCTACCCTACCAAAACCTGCCTTTTCTGTAGGGTCCCTGTTCATTCTATATATTGGGGTTTATGCTACGACCCTGTCGAGAAAAGGTGGGTTCCGGTAGCTGGCTGGCTTAGGGTTCGGTTTGAAGGCTTAGCCTAGCACACGGGGGGCCTTGATGACGAAGCTATCATTGGCCCTGGTGTCTTCCAAGCTTTGCCTCTGGCACGTGACGCCACTCCAGGTTTCCTTCCTATTCTCTAGCATCGTCCCTTATCATCCTTGTCCAACTTTATCAGAGCCAGAGCTATAATTTGCACCCTGCACATGCATGCGTTGGAACTGGATCTGCCCGGAGTTTTAGTGCTTCGCCAGCCCGTTATCGGTTGGTATCTCGGCCAAGCAGCCAACTGAGAATTACCGCGGCTCTTTCAGACTTTCAACGGGCCGACGGGCCAGCAGCGTGCTCAATGTGTGGCCAGCGTGCACGCATTCGTACATGCACTGCTGCTTGGGCAGCCATGATGCCTGTTTTTGCGACCCTACTGTTGGAGATGATCGTTGTTGCTTTTCGGACGAGCCCTGAAGTCAGGGACGTGCGACATTGGTGCTAGGGTGGGACACAGCATCGCTCATTGACAGAGTTGTGTTCATGTTCCAACCGTTCGGCTGATGTCGTTGAACCCACGGCAGTGGAGGGATATCAGCATGCCCCCCAGCACCGCGGATTCTCTTATTCTGACTTATACTTATACGCGACATGAGGCTGACTCGAAGGTTGGCCTCGCAGGCTACTCAACTACTGCAGCTGTCCTTGCATGCTAAGCATGTCTTGGAAAGGCTGCACTGGTGCAATTACAGCGGCATCCCTCGAACATAACGCGTGGGCAAGTAGGCCGAGACAAATCCGAGACAAATTTGTTGAGGCAGATGCAATCTTTGCGACACGTGTTATGATTCAGGGACAAGCCACATGCAGGAGCATCATGCTTCAGCACGTGCATTGGATGGACTGCAAACATACTCAACCCATGTCGCTGCTGTTAAACATCGAAGTCCTGAGACATGTGGTTTGAGGATGTCCTTCTCAACATCCGGGAGCTTAAATTCACCCGCCCGGTGCACGGAAGGCCGGTTCGTGTCCGTAGAGTCGAGGTTAGATTAGCATCCAGACTCTGGTTTCTCACCCCGACACGGGCTGCGACGAGCGAAAAGTGTGTGAAACCTGGACTCTCTCTGTAACTATGACTCGCGGCGGGCTGCGTTGTGTGGCCTGCACGCACTTAGGAAAAATTTGCAGCCTATTCAGCGGCTGGCTTTCTCATGTCTAGCGGTGCCAAAGTTGCAAAAATCTTCCGGCAGTTCAATGATTCAAGTACTTCTCCTGCAGCTCATGCAGCCTTCAGCATGATGGCCTTCAGCCGGGTTTGCACTCCCTTCTTCGGCTCACAGGAAAGGCAGACGTGAAACCCCTCATCCTGCCTCTTAGTCTTTGCTTTTTTCCATATATTTGCCGCCTTCCTAGCGAGGCGCGTGCCCCAGAATCGCAGCAGTTGAGCCAGATTGGAGTCAGCTTTGATACCAGGCGACTCCTGGTTGCCACTTGACCATCCAACTCTACATTGTCAAGCCAACAGAAAAAACACAAACGGGGCCAATGTGCTCTTCCAATTTTGGAGTCGAGGTTATGCGAGCCCAGGCAGATGGCAAAAGGGACCTCAACAAAGAAACAGTTAATTGTGAAGCCTTGCCTGCCTCGTGCGAGCACGAGAATCAAACCCTTCCTTGCCGTGCGACCTGTCAGCATGGAGGATGGGAAAACCCAGACTATACATGGGAACCGAGGCAGATCGAAAGCTTGGCCGGAGATCCGCCTGCGGGAGGTGCTGCGAAAAGGCTCGAATTGTGGCGGAAGAGCAACCGGAAGATACAAGCCTGAAATGTGGAGTCAAACACGTTACCGTGATTGCAGCGACGCTTTGAGATTGTGGTTCCCATTGAAACATTAAGATGAGACTACCGAGCGAAGCCATCTGAATGCATGCAATGATGCAAGCAATCTCACTGTCGCAGGACCACCTTTGCGGCTTGCTAATGGCTGCTGGGTCTCTCGCGTTCCGACTAGTACTTCCAGCGCTTTGCGCTTCATGCCTGGCAGGGCTCTAAGAGCCGGGGGGCATGGTGGCATGCCTCAGCAAAGGTGACTACGCAACATGTTTCGGCCCAGACATGCGCAAACAGAACTGAGGGTCTGCGTTGGCCGCTTTGGGAAGGGACCTGACTGTGCATTGTCCGATCTTTCCTCTGCACAATCAGGCGATTGGTGTGCAGTGCTGGTTCCTCAGAGACGCGTTGCCTGCGATGCCTGCAAGTCAGACCCAGGCCCAGGGCAAAAGAAACTCAGAATCCATGTGCGACTCCTTGTCAGGTGGCTCGGAGTGCACATCGGAAGTGCCCGAACCGCTTGAGGAAGAGGCCCCGGGTGCGGGTCCCGTGCACGTGGCTTGAGAAGCCTATCGTCAGCAACTCGTGACCAGCACCAGTTCATCAGACAGAAAAGCATGTTCTTTGGACCACATAACTCAGCGCCCCGAAGCCCAATTGCAGCCTGGGCGCAACAGCATTGCTTCTGCTCCCGGTACCACGGGGCCCAAAGCCACAAGCGGGCACACTGCCCGGCAGAGGCAACATCGTAAGCTACAGCACGCATTCTCCTTGCAGGCTGAGCTGCTCGAAGTCAGGCTGCTGCAAACGTCAGGGCCTCGCTTCCTGACCCTGGGAAAGCCACCAAGATACGCTCCACCGAGCTGCGCTCGAGCTCACAACGCAATGATGCCAAGGTCCGTCGCATTGAACAGCAAGGCGGCCACGACCGTCGTGCAGAGCGTCGTGCAGAATGAGGCTCTGGCCAGGGCTTGTGCAGGTTTGTTGCACTCAGGGACTTGAAATGTGAATGAGTCGGATGCAGCTATCTTTGGGAAAGCTGGACTTCCTCCAGGCCCCGCCCCTGTTCAACATGCATGGCATTTATGCAGTAGGTTCAGCCTCTATTATTATCGGCTCCATTGGTGATGATTGTCTTTCCTACTGTATGCATCGTCCGCTTCCTGCTCCTTGACCTCCTGCAAGGAACCCCCATTCACTCTCTCTTCATCTGCTCCTTGTCGTGCTTCTTATCCAGGCAGCCTCCAGCCATCCTCAATCATTCTCTTCCGCCTCAATGACTACCTTCCCTCGTCCCGTCTCGTCCTCCTCCTGCTGCTACTACTCCTGCTATTGCCACTGCCACTGCCACTACTGCTGTGACTACTACTACTACTACTACTACTACTCCTCCTCATCCTCCTCCTCCTCCTCGTCCTCCTCCTCCTCCTCCTACTCCTACTCCCAATCCTACTCTTCCTTACTACTCCTACTCCTACTGCTGCTGCTTCCGCTGCTGCTGCTGCTACTGCCTGCTGCTGCTTTTCAGTCTGTTCAGGATGCAATCGCAGGTGGAGATGACCACGACGGTTAAGGCGATAATGATTGCGGAAGTAGTCGCTGTCGTCGCAGCTTAACTATTTTTAGTAGGTGTCGTTTTGGTGTTGAGGTTGTTGCCGATTGTGATGGGAATGATGGTGTCGTTGCTTGCCGTCGCGTGTTCCGTCGTCGTCATCGGCGTGGTCGGTCGTCGTGGAGGTGGGTGTGAGTATTGCTGCTGATGCCATTGTTGCTGTCCTTACTATGGATGGTGTCATGTTGGGCGTGTCTTCGCTTGGGCATCTTTGCACTGCTACGGGCTGTTCCGTGATTGTTTCTAGTTGCATTTGCTGCTTATTTCCGTGCTCATTGTTTAGTTTACGATTGCTCTACGGCTGCTTCTTCCTTTGTCCTTCGTTTTTGCTGTCGCCACATTGCTAATCTGTGGAATCACAACAATGAAAGATTCTGGCTACAACTGCTACAAACTCCTATCAACCAGTCCTTAAGGGTTACCAAACTATCGTTTTTCGGTGTGATGGCCTATCTCTTTCCATTGTGTGAACCCGCTCAGGCGGCCGTGCAGCTGCCGATGCAGGGCCCTTGGCAAATCAAGTTGGATTTGACTTTGTGGTACTTCACCACACCGCTGTGCCAACAGCTGGAAAGCCCCAATTCCCTGGATGAGTTACGTCTCAGGCAGACCTTGCAGGAAGAGCCCTCGTCCCGCAAGTCTCTTGCTATGCAAGCAGCATCCCCAGAGCTTTTCGCACAGGGATAGGGCAGGAATCGTGGTGCAGTCCTCGGGGCTTTGGAATGGCTCCGAAAATGAAAAATCCTGCGAGAAGCAGCAGTCGATGTGTTTCAGCGGAAAAGATTGGGAGACACTGTCAGGACCAAGCTCCATCCGCTGGTTGGAAGTGTTTTGTTTTCTCTTCTCTCGCAGCCTTCAAGAAGCCCTTCTTCAGCGGGTGCCCAGGCGCAGGAAGTTATAATGGTACGATCAGAGCCAGGATCCAAGCTGGGACCGATGGAGTACATTCATGCACAACGCATTGCCGGTGGCGGTCAAGTTTCTTAATTACGTGAGTTGGCCCAGTTAGGCAAATGGGCACGCATGCTAACTCTGCCGGGCTTCTCGGGTGAGCCTCTGCCTGCCTCCTTCCAGCAGCTTTTTGTGTTTGATGGAAGGTGCGTGGGTATGGGTGGGTCTTTCACAGAGCATCGCCAAGGCATGTAGGTGAACTGGAATTCCCGCGAGAGCTCGTTGGGGCGTTGATGTTCGCGCCGGAAAGGTGGGTCGTGCTGGGCGTTTACGCCGTTATATACCTGGTCTCAGCAACTTGGCAAATAAAGCGACTGAGAACTTGTGATTCATAGTCACGTTCGGAGCACTGCTGCAAAGTTGAACAGGATCCAATGCCTCGGCTCATACTCCATTGCAGAAAGACGTGATTGCAGTAAAGTAGAATAACATAGGCGAACAAAGCCTGGACGTGTAGTAGCATGCAGAGGAAAGGCTGCAGGTTCTGTTCTGCTGCGGAGGGTGGGGCAGTTCCGTCCCGCACTCACACGATTGAAGAGCATCGAGAGTCGCTGGTTGCATGCGTCACTAGGGAGCCCGAGGTGTCTCGCTAGTGCGCTAGTGCTGCCGGGGAGGAGCCTGCCAAAAGGATGTCCCATGAATCAGAGGTGAGCCTCATCATTCGCAGCATGACCAGAAGCTGCCACCTCAGCGATTTCAGCAGTAAGGCTACGTGCAGGCGCCGCTTTCCATGACTCCTTGTCTTGGCGGTGAACCCATTGAGCCAGTACGTCCTGCAAGCACAAGCTCAAGTTGCTAGAGCGTAAGGCACTCCTTCCATGGACACAAAGCTGTCAAGTGGCAAGGTGGGCAGCCTTGCTTCTGGCATAGATGCGCTTTTGTGGGTTTACCACATCCAGACTCGCGGGGCAACACTCCAACCCGAGGGCAAAGCGCATGCATTCCAGCTGTTGCGATGTGTAGTACGGTTTAACGTATCCTCTTTGGCACGTCTTCTTGTTTGCGTGCGACTGCTGTAGGCGGAAGACATGGATGCGGAAACCCGAGTCTGGAAACAAGGACCCGGTATGCAGTGCAAGTATGCAGGTGTGACAAAGTCATCCTGAGCGTTGTGCCTTCGAGGCGATTCCAATACAGCACATGCATTGTGAGGATTTCTCAGCTGGCTGGCAGTCTCCTGGGCTGGTCTCCCAGTGGTTTCACACTCTCTTGCCCCATGAATTCGATGTTTTCGTCAAGGCACCTTGTCCGCCGTAGCATAACAGGGGGTGACAGTTCCAATGGGACTTTCATACGTCTACCACGTGCGGTCCAGTGTGCTTGCTTTCGTCAAATCCACGCACAGAGCTTTCACGAGTGTATCGAAAGCAGCACGCCCTCTACTCTTTCAAAGCTCTTGATTCGATGTCGAATCGTGTTTTCTCGTTGTGGTACATGACTTTATGTTCGCTTACAATGCCATTATCGTGGTGTGATGTTGCCCGCAGCCTGCAGCGAGGCCACGCCTTGGTGTGCACGCTGGGGGCACTCCTTGACACTTGGAAGCCATCCGAATGCGCAGTGAAACCTAGGCCCTAGCAGCTTAGCAATGGTGAGCCAAGAGTCATGTTTGTGGTGACGATGATGCAGAAGCCTGTGGCTTGGCACTCGTGGAGTCGTTGGATTGCTGGATGCCTGCTCAGAAGTTACAGGTAGTTTTTTACAGGTGTATCGGTTGTTTGGTGGGTGTCATAGATTTCATGCCAGTTCAAGCGCAACTACACTGCCCAAGCAGCTGGCACAGCTTGTATCGGCAGGGCGAGTGTGCACCTTGGGTTGATATAGTGCCACCCGCCTCAAGAACGAGATGGAAATCCATTTGCGAAGCTTAGGAACTCGGCGCTGACGAAGATCAAAGCCGAACAGCTTCCCCAGCGACCTTGGCATGAATTGGAGACATTGAGGTTTGGGCTCACAGGGTGTTCTTCCCGGAAGTTTGTAGTCCGGAGGTGGTAAGTGGCTGGTCCAGAGGGAGGGCGGGGCTGGGCTGGGAGGGTGGGGCAGGGCTTCACGCAGGGCAGGCAGGGCAGGCGCATAAGCCTCTTCATGGAGCGGCGAGGACACATGCAACAGTTCAATCACATTCCTTGAAAACTCCTTCGCTCTAGCGCTTTGGGCTTATCGCTTATTTTGCCTTTTCGCCTTTTGGACATGTTGTTGGTGTTGGGATCCATGACTTTAAAGGAATATTTTACAATGGTAATTTGGTTCGACTGAGAAGAAAGCCGCGACAAGCATCGTGTTCGCCCAGTGCAGGCAACCCTCCAAAAACGACTCTCGGAACAGATTCTTGTGCCGTCGGATGAGGCTTGGCTTTCACAACGACTTGTCGTCTGAGCCTCAGCTCGTGCCGTCGGGACCTGGCTGCTGTCCTGTAACAGGCTTCGTGTTAAACGGCAAAACGAGGGGTAACAATTCCTTACTTTGGAGACTGTGTTCGGCTGCAGTTGAAGCGAAAAGATTTGCCGCCCTTCCATAAATCGCTGCTCATGAGATGTGGTGGGCGGGATGACATAGCACCAGCGTGGACCACACCAGCTGCGTGGCATAGTCGTCGAACCGCAGGCAGGCAAGCGCTGACGAGTTTGAGAAACTCTGGGCTGACGAGCTGGAGGCGGGAAGACTTCGAGGTTTTTGTTTGAATACCTGTGGAAGCTATGCGGTATACATGGTCCTGAGTGCGCATAACACGCCCCCAAGTCCCAATCTGTAACTGTGGACGCTTGATCCAGCAAGGTCATATCGTACTATATAGCCATTGAATTGAACCTCCTGCGGGAAGCAGTCGCGACTTACAGAGTGGCTGGGCATCCTTAATCCCAGGGTTTTTCCAGGCCAAGGGAGAGGAGAAGGCAAGCGTGGCAGCTCGGATGCATTGTGAAGCTACGGAGAAGTCTCCGAATATTACCTCGTGACGTGTTCAGCTGATCTTCGTGATGCCTGCTTTGGACTCACTTGGTATGCGGCTATCCGGTCGCCATTCGCTGTGTGCACAGATCGGCAGGCGCAAGCGGTGGACTGCTAATACCAAGCGACACTGACACCACCACGTCGCCGAACACAGGGTGAAGCGAAGATTGCCCACGGCTGGCAGCCAAAGTTTGCAAAGATGGTGTCGACACGGTTGTGAAGAAGAGTAACAACAGCATGCATGCTGCATAAATAAGTGGTCAGACGATGCAGGGCCTGATTCGCCAGACCGGTGTTACATGCTGCTTCTGGCATGATGCGCACGATGGGTTACCAAAGCAAGGCAAGCGTTCTTATGCGCATGGTGCCAAAGAACAAACTGCCCACCCGACATGTTTGGTTGCAGTTGTGACGCAGCTCGAACTTGCAAGCAGCCGAATCGCAACGAGTGAGGCGATACCTGTTTTTAAGGCGTAGTCTCTCTTTTTCCGTACGTCCTGGTGCTGGTCACCTTTTGTACGTGCGCTCGCTCGCTCTCTCTCTCTCTCTCTCTCTCTCTCTCTCGCGCTCGCGCTCTCTCGCTGTCGATTCACACTCCAATGTAAGCACAATTAGGCCGTTTGCGATTGCATGTCAAGCAACGAGCAGTTTGACTGAGGCTCTACTGCAGTGCGTAGATGTGCACACCACCTCGATCCTTCTCTCGCCAGGATTACAGGCGGTCTTGCCTACAGCTGGGCGGTTCTGCAGGGGCCCGAAGAGGGGCATGGGCTTGGACTTGGTAGGGTGTTGTAAAGGCGTTCAGGCAGGTTTTCGTCCAGCATCCAAGTCGCCAAGGCAGAAGCAGATCGTGTGCGATCGTCATTCGAAAGAATGAAGCGCATCACGGCGTCCGCCCAATGTAGACCATTGTCATCACCGGTCAGCAGACGCCCCTCTCCGGTCTGTGGATGGCAGACATGCCAGTAACCTCGAGATTTTCAATTTCAGAGATCTCAATTCTTCGGCTTGGCCATCGTGCCATGTCCGTCGTGTCAACCCCCGCTGCAAACATGCCCAAACATCACTCCCGTCTTAAACAATACTGTAGCAACTCGGGACAGATACGGTCACCAGGATTGGTCAGCTCTACTCCGTGTACTTGGTGCGCTTTGTATCGATCTCAGCCAAAGTATAGATGCCCCAGCACCAGGCACCAGTGCCAGTCTTGACGCCTGCTGACTACATGTAGTAAAACGGATGTGAGCTATTGGTGACGGGCTTTGTTCTGCACTTTACCTTCAACATGGATGGAGCATTCTGTGATTCGTTCGTTTCAAGCCGAATTGAAAGCCGGGAGGACCGCCTCTGTCAAAATGTCAGTTCCACAGTGTGTCACGGTGCTAGCAAGCTAAAGAGCTTTTCTGGCACAGCTGCCCCAATACACCCAGCCATAACTTGTGCAGCTGAAGGCCTTGGTCTTCTGAGCAAGATAGATGCAGGAAGATGGTAGCTCACTCTGCCGTATTGTGCTAAGTCCTTGATGCACTTCTTCAAGCTCCAGGCGAGCGCTCGTGAGGGCTTCGGGGTTTGGCAAAGAGTTTTCAGGCGAAAGCATCCTGAAGCAGCAATTCGGAGCCACCAAGACCGCGGACTGAGCACAGTATTGAATGACTGACCGGGCGGGACATTCAGTCTCAAGATCCACGGCCACAGCATGAAGGAAGGACAGTTGGGCAGCGGATTTTCGCATTGTGCAGCTTCTGTACCTGTACGGAAGCGCAGCCCTGCGAACTGCAAACTGCTGAAAAACGTGGTTTTCTCGGGCAAGTTGCCTCCTCGTATTCTATGCAAAAGGAATCGTGACCGCAGGGTTCGGGCATCAAGGCCATCGTGTTGCGCTTTCATGGCAGGAAGCCAGCGACAGCACACCCCACTGGGGTAACTACTGAACAATTGAAAAAGGGTTGCTGTCGGTTGTCTTGCCTTTCGGATCTTTCGTCTTCCGGTCCAGAGGGAATCATGGATTGCAGCCAGAAAGTATAAGTTTCCTCACGGACACCGATCCAGCCCCAGACATCCGTGAGGAAGGGACACTGGTCACCATAGTGCCGCAGATAATGTGCCTGTTTGCTCGTTGCAAGCTCTATGCTCGTCAAGGTCAGCCTTGCAATTTTTGCGTGGGATGGAGAAACTTGTTTGGACTGGATGCATGCATCTCTGCAGCGTAAAGCCGTAAAGTCTGTCGCCTGCTTTCATGTCCTGCAAGTCCCGCCCATTTTGTCGTTGCATGCATGCAGTGTAGTGTGAGGCTCAGAAACTGAGAGTTCACTGCAGGCTATCACAGCATCCGCCGAAAATTGCCCTTTGCTTTTTATCAAAAGCTGCCGCGAACGGGACGCAAAAAGTGTGGCTGACACATGTTTGGGGAGCTCTGAGCTTGAACGGTGCGTGGAGGCTGCTGTTGCTGCTGCTGTAGCTGCGGCACCTGTTGTCTCAGTGGCGACCGCAAGACCGGACGGCCTTTTGCAGTTCCGCCCAGATAGATTCGCATTTCGCTCGGAAGATTGATTTGGAAGAGGAATGCAGAGGTGTCAAAGTGAAGGCTGCAGCCTTGTTCGAATGATTTCGACCGGCTTGGACCATCTCAGCCCGGAGTCAGGCAGGCACTTGCTCCATGTGCCATTGTGAAACCAAAGCTGAAGTGTTTGTTGGAATCACTGTTCGAGCATACCACAGTTTGTTTCAAGGGAGCCAATCTTAATCTTTGCGGGCTGGACAATCCGACTGACTCGCAATCCCGACAATGTGGAGCAGTCTGATTGCTTTCACAGTCTGGAGGGGTAGTTTTTGAGCGAATGTCTCAAATTTCAATCTTTAGTCTGCTTTGCACGTTAAATTTGGATCTGAATCTGAACCTGTTCGTCTACCACCGGGTCCAACCGCGGAGATACTTGAGGTTTTTCGTGCGTGTGTTCGGCGATACGAAAGGCACAGCTTGTGGACTTTCCTGGTTGGAAGTAAGGCTATGTCGAGAGAACCTGCCGTAGGGGCTCAAAAACATGACACATTATGCATGCCAGAGGTGTCGAACCTACACCCTTGGGTGCTTGTGTGTGTGTGTGTGTGTCTGTCTGTCTGTCTGTCTGTCTGATTGACTGCTGCATTTTTTGGGATGTTGGGAGCCAGCATGAGCCCGCACATACATTCCCTTTTGCCGGCGAGGCCTGGGTGTTGGCGCACCCTCACGAGGCCATGGTACCTGTGACTCAACCTTCTGTGGTGCGCCATTGGCGTACGTGAAACTTGCAAAGTATGAAATTGAATGAAACCGTAGGCAAACAGCCATCATGGTGATTTGTGAAGGAGGTTCCCATGTTCAGGTGCGATCACGCAGATAGGTTCCTGGAGTGCCACAGACGTTGACCGGTCTTGTGCTAGGTTCAATTTGTGAAGTTCCCTGCTGTATACTACGCTGTAGGAATGCCGCAACACAAAGTTAAGCGAACTGAGGCAATGCACACGAGGTAGCAGGGAAAGACTTATTGCAAGTGTAGAATTGTAGATTTACCCATCCAGAAACCGTTGTATCTGCCAGGAGCTAAGAGCGCATACTGTATAACAACCAACACACCAGCACGCAAGCGCGCCTCCATGCTCGATGGCACGCATTCACGCTTACCTGTCCACCTGTCTATCTATCTGTCTATTTACCCATCAGTCGAACTATCTATTTGTCTGTCTGTCTGACTATCCATTTATGCGCAACTTGCAAATATGCGGGTGTGGAGAGCAGGCAACTTGGAAATACACCCTGAGTGTGCAAGCCATGCAGGAAAGAAACCTCACGAACCAGCTCCTTGCAGGGAACTCAGTTCGACCTTCCGTGATGGCTTCTGTTGAGACGAAATTAAACCCAAGACACGCTTCAGTACGCTTCGTAAGATGTCTTCCCGACACCACATCCTGCAATGGCACACCTGATCAGATTGCAATCTTCGCTTTCACGATCTATCCGATCAGTCAGATCATCATTCTCTCGGCGTGCACCTGAGATCCAGTTTTGTGGAAGAAGTGCAGCACCACTTTGGGGTCACGGCAACCTGCGCGATGTCTGTAGCATGCTCCAGACATGACCCGGTCCGGTGTTCGAAGTGGCCACTGATCGTTTCTGCAGATCACCAACTCTATAACAACGCAGCTGGCTTTGCTCTCAGCCGCTTCAGTCAGAGCTGCAGCATGCAAGCTCTAGTGCAGCGGGCAGCGGTCAGGTGAATGTCATTGTATGTCTATGCCGTTCTGTAATGGATTGCAGTGACAGCGTTCGTCGGAGCCTCCCGCCAGCGTGCTCTGCAGGAAGTCCATGTCATGTGGGCCTCTACGGTAGTCTTGCTGAACCGAGGATCAACGCATGTGTGGAGGTCTGGCTGCCGGCAACTCGGAGCCCACCCCCAACCTGCTCTAACGCCGTTCAAATCAGTCAGGCAAGCGAGCTCAGCGATAAGGGTCCAGGACGGTTACTTCAGGCTTGCGCAGTAGCCAGGCGCAGCAACATGTGGCCCCCGCACCGAGGTGGCGCTTTTCCGCAAGGCACAGCGCCTTCCTTCGCCATGGACCCAGAAGAAGCGGGTCTTAATGATATGTTGCTCACATCAACTCACTCCTGCACAGCGCTGGTCGCACATGCTGTCCCTTCCGGAAGTGCTACCGGCGACTTACGCGCTAACTCCGTTGAAGCTTAGGCATGTACGGATTGAACACCTGGCAAACTGACGACTCGTAGCTTCAAGAAGCCAGAGAATGCTAGAGCTCTCGAGCCCCAATAAGAAGCCACCCTTTCAGCGAATCACGCCTCTGGTCAGAATAGCGTGGCAATGGGTGCTGACCTACAGCCTCGGACCTGGGGCAAGATGTCGTAGAGCTGCGGAACAAAATCACCTTTGCTGTAAAATGGTACAAGCCGTGTAAGAACGTGAGTTGAGCGGTGCATCGTGAGTCTCCTGGTTCTGTCTTGCCCAGGACGGTGGGCACGGAGCAGTCGTCACCGAAGGAAGGCATGTTACCTATGCAGACAGCCATGTACCCACATCTACGCATTAGGACAAGCTGCAGGAAGGGTCCATGGAGTGTGCACCATGCACAGGGTCAGGCACCTCCTAACCGAACCTGAAAACCACACCAGATCCAACCCAGTTCTGTGGGAAGCGCCACTGCGCTAGTGAAGTGAGGCCGTATGTTCAACATGCATCGAAAGATGCATACTGACAGGCACGTATGAAGGCATGGCAGAGTGGACAAGCACTGCTGGCATGACTGGATAACCCGACAAATCACAATCATGCCCCCAAACAGGACAACCAGATTACATGTAACCGTATACCTAGACCTACTTAACTCAAGAGACGGTGGCACAACACCCTATTTTGACCGGAATCGAAACATGACACTGCACTACGACTACGAGCATATTGCCAAGCGCAAGAACCGCAGCTCACCGTGTCACTTGGGGAAAGAACTGGGACAGATGATAGCGGCTGATAGAAGGCACAAAAAGAATGCACCGCCAAGTTACTGTCTTCCATGTTCGACTCCGAGAACATCCGCTCAAGCAACAGAGTGCACTAAGCGCACTAGCATAAATTGGGGTAAAACTCTGTAGATGACTTCATCATCTCCAAAAGTGACTAGCGAGAGTCTTGACCGATAGAAAGCTCATTAGCCATACTCCTTGGCATATTTGCATCTCGATGGCTGGGTTTATGCAGTGGGTTTTGGGCAGGCACTGGTGCAAAAGCAGATTTGCAGACGTGCGGCCTCCAGATTCTCGCATCCAGTGGCGGACTTCAGTTTCTCGAAACCACGCTATCTCCCCTACTGGACAGCATGGGCGGGCAATATTAACTTGCTATCTTTTTGATGGCGGACGTCCAGGAACTGTGAGACGCACACCAGAAGAGTGCGGCATAGTGCAGCCAGGGGTTACAAATCTTGAGAGCAATAGCATGCAACTGCAGTCGCTGGTCATGGGTTGTTGCGCTAAACGTTTGCGCTTCTAAGCTGCTCTATGGATAGTTCAGTGAACCGGCGGTTCCTTTGCTTGTCAGCGTATCTACAGCCACTGGACCATGCTCGGTACAGGTTGACCGGCATTGGCTGTTGTCTGTGTGTCTGCTGACTCTGTCTGTGGATGTTACATCAGTTGCGTCATGCATTCCTCTTTCCACACGTCTACTATGTCTCCATCTTGTTGTACTGCATCATGCTAGGAGTGCAGGACAGCCTCGTTTTTCACCAGCTGGGCACGTCGTGCTGGCACGTTCATGCGCGATACAGCCTAGGCTCCTCAACCACGATATCCTGACGGCTTTGATCGGTTCCTTCGACTCGCTTGAGCCCCAGCTGTGCCTGAGTAGCCGGCCTTGCCTGACAACATCTGGGAAAGGAGAAGTCGGAGGTGATCAAAAGCGAAAGCCGTTGCTTGTGCAGGCTTTGCCTCGCTGGAACAGCGGCCATGTGTGGAGCCTAAGCTCTGTTGTTCAGCTCAACCAGAATCTCCTTGCAGCCATGTTTGGTTTTTCGAGGGCATTGAATGAAGCCCTTAAAGCCTGCGAAACTACATTTTTACAGTCGAAGCGTGGCATACTAATTCGAGACACGAGGGCCTCTCCCGAAGTCCTCAGGTCAGTCTTCGTTCTGTTCTTCCTCATGGCCTCCCAACTGCGTCATGGCCTCAGAAACGAGTTTTCGGGGCCTGATCGACATCGGAAGCCTTTCCAGGCCTTGCGACCATATGTGCCTTCGGGATTGCGATCCCCTGCGTCCCTACCTAAGTGCTGTCACGAGTCAGGTGGGAGTTGTTTGCGACCTGCAACAATCTTTAGGGATGGGCCCCCTTGTTTCAGAAGCCAGAAAGCGTAGGGGCATGCTTTGATGCCGCTGCTTTAGTGGCCTCGGAAGGCTGTACGTGCTGTCTTGATGAAGAAGTTTGCCTAGCTGAGGTGAGTTATGCTGTGGTCTTGGGTGGTGGAATTGGGGAGGTGATGTTGATGTTGCAGGAACGTCATGGCCTCAGCACGTGCTGTCCGGTCGGACTCGCCGGTGGAGTTTTGCACTATGAAAGGTACAGACCGACGCGTGGTGACACTACGGGAGGTGCTGTTTGGTGCCGGCTCCCCAGACTCAACCTTGTCCAGCTCCTGGCTGCAGAGACTTGCTGCCATGAGCATTTTGCCGGAAATCCAAGACTTCCGAAGTGGTTGTGTGAGACGGAGAAGGCTTGGATCGGAGCATGGTGCCGAGGTGCGGGTAGTGAAGTGCTACGGCTGGGAGGCGGGCAGCTGCAGTCGAAGCGGTGCAGCTCCTCTTTGTTCCCAGCCTCAGGGCGGCCTAAGGCCACTTTCTTTCTCTCTCTCTCTCTCTCTCTCTCTCTCTCTCGCTCGAATTCCCTTGCCCCATCCAGTGTCACGGACGTCTGGCACTGACGCGGGGTCCCGAGACACTCCCGAGACCACACGGCAGGTCGCCATGGAGCAGAAGCTCGCTGCCCTCAGGAACAAGGAGGTAGAGGGACTGAGGTGGGGTGCTGAGGACCTTGGACTCCAACATTTCTTCGGGGTCGCCCAGAGCCGTCTGGAGTGTTCCGTGACAGAGCTTGAGCCTGTCGCCAGGTCCTACTGGCACTATACATGCGTGACCGGCTCAGAGTCAAGAAGGGCCTGGGCAAGTGGGAAGAGAGTCCGTTGGCGCACATACACTCACACAGACACAGACACATACGCCTGTCTGTGGAGTTGCATCCTCCCTCTTCAGGTGGGGCCGCGGCCATGAATTTTAACCGGCAATTGGGAACTCACCGATGCCCCTCTCGGCGCGGCCAGGGCATCACGGCGCTGCTCGTGGCATTTCCGCGACTCCTCATTTGGCCTCGGCCTGACGAAATCCGACGTCGCTTTTGCGGCTCTGAGCTTGAGACTCTTCAGACTCTTGCCGCCGAGCCACGCGAGCCAAGGGCGGGCCTGGTGGGGTATGCGGCCATCTACGGTGCCCACGATGTCCCTTGCCTAGACCTAAATCGTAGTGTCCCGAAGACTCGCTTCGACGAGAGGTCGCGACTATTTTCACGAGCTTGCAAATTTTGCCGGGGCCTTATCAAAGGACCTCATAATGCGAGCAAGAGATGCTGGACCGGGTCATACCGGATCGTAACAGGACCTTCCCCAGCATCTAAAGGTCGAAAGGAATTTGCCTGAGGGTGCTTTCGCGCATGTTTGCTGCATCTGCAAAACTGTATGACATGTAGACAACTGTAATGTCTTCGGATCCAGATGTGGGTATCGACTTCCCCTGATGCTTTCCGCCCATTCCGACCAAGGGCCTGTCTTCGCGGATCTTGCGAGATCCTAGCAACCAGCTCGACGCTTAGACGGTGTAGGCGTAAGGTGCACGCAGCACCTGGCACCGTTGAATCTGCTTTCTCCAGCCTGCGCAGTCTTCGGGTGAAGCCAGCACAGAGAGCACTTCGGAGCTCCGAGCATTGAGGCCTTGCTCGTTGCGCAGGAATTGCGCACCCTGGCTGATGATGTCCCAGTCGGCTAGAAAGGGGGAACCTGTCACATTTACTGTTGCTGGTTGGCTTTGGATTCCAGATTCAGGTGATGCATCAACAAACCGCGTAATTTAATCTGAAATCTCTTCAGCTGCCCTATCATCTAGCAGCTAGCATTGACGGGACTCTTCGCGCGCACACACACACACAGAGACAGAGACACAATTCCAGCGAGGCCGAGCGTCAGCCGTATCCAGGCTTTTCTCAAGCTGCCAGAAGCGTGGGTGGCCCGGGAAGTTGAATTCCTGATTGCAACGCAGCATCTGGACTACGCGTGTTGGTTCTTCAGAAGACACGACCTGAAGAGTTTGCTGCTCCAAAATGCGATGTTGAACCAGCTAGCCCTAACCTAGATATTCGTAGGAGCCTGACGAAAAGAACCACATGTTGCTGACAATGACGATCGCGAAGAAGACTTAGGTTTTTGGAACATCATGATGACACTCTGCGATAGAAGCATCGCAACAACAACCTACCAACCACAATGCATTGCTGCATGGATTTTGTTTTGGATCTTGCTGATTCTCGCTTCGGTGAAATTTCGTGAGGATCACAAGCTCTCTGAAATCCGTGCAAATCACGCCAAAAATCCGCGCGACACGCGAACTCGTGAACTGATGTTGGAAACACGCCACGTCAAAATCCCCGTCTCAATCCACGTCGCAGAACAATTCTGGCAACAGAAATATGCGCGGCATCCACGTCGTCCGAGAAGAAATCTAGGTGTTTATGCGGGCAATGGACTGCGAGGACATGTCTCGCCCATGAAGATATCAATCCTTCGCCGGAATTAAGGTGAAAACATGTGGCATTACGTGGCAGGCAGGCCACACTCGGCTGGAGAATGGTCGTCCACGAGTCCAAATTACTATACCTCCAGACACGACGTCCATTGATTTCCGAAACGTGGGCTCGTTGCTCGTTTTGCCGCTTTGTGGCAGAAATCCTAAAAACGCAAGCCCGAGTCAGCCGCAGGGCAAGGCGGGGTTGGTATCCACGAGCGGCTCTTTGGGTTTGCCAACTCGGGACCGAAGCCAAGCCAGATAGGCCCCTGCTGCTACTACTACTACTCCTACTACTACTACTACTACTACTACTACTACTACTAGGGGGAGGGTCCCTAATTGACGCCATGCTTTTCCCGCGTTCAAGGGTCTAAACGTGTGGTTTTAGTAGGATTTTCGCCAAAGTCTCGAGGGTAGGTTCTCTTGGTTTTCCTGGGCAGAGGATTGGGGGGGTGGGGG